TTTAAAAATAAAAAAAACAACATCTGTCCTGGCGGCAAGTTCTCTCTGCCGCGCGGCGTGCCCGGCAGCTCATTTCTGCCGCCCGCCGTCGCGCGGACTTCCTTTTGTTCTAATTTTATTCTTTTGGAATTTTCGTTTCCCTTTCGCGCGCACGCGCGCTTTCACCCTGCCGTGTGACAAAGCCGGCGTGAGGTCGGATTATGTCAAGCGAACGTGTTTGCTCGACCGCTCTTTTTTTTTTGTCACTTGCGTATTACTTTTCTGTGTGAAACGCGGTTACACATTTTTGCTGTGTTGGGCTTTCCTGTTTGGCGTGATTCACACGCGCCCTCACAGTAGGCTCACTACTGCGGAAACCGACGGGTATTTCAGTGGTGACCTGGCAGAAGAGCGTAAGTCCCCAAAAAAAATAATCGTTCTGTTTTCAGACAAGTTTTTATAATTTTTCTGCCGAAATACCTTTTAACAAAATAAGTTGTTTTTAGATCACTTAAGATTTACGGTGTGCTGAAGACCGGTGCACGGCCGTTCCCTGCACTGCCTCGTACGATAGCCGCATGGGAGAGTGGCGAGCAGATTTGAACTACCTGGGGAATACCCAGTCAGTCAGTAACCCTACACGCATCGACTGCCCCACACCGTTTTACCCGAGCGATGACTAGCCCCCTCCCCCCCCCCCCCCGCATTCTTTTGCAACCATACTGTTACTTTCCCTCCTTTTTCCCGTCTGTGTGGATTCCCCGGCCAACATTAATCTGATGGAAGCTTTACGCGGTGCTGCGCGGCGGCGGTGCTGTGTGTGTTTGGAGGAATGCAGCATATAATGCAGTCGGCCCCTGACCGCTGCTGCTGCTCCTCTCTGGCTTCCCTTTTTTTTGCGCCGACCACAGCCGCTCCGCGCCCCGCCCCACGCCGTCTGGCGAAAATCCTTTTCTGTTTATTGTGTCTGAAAACAGTCATTTCCCCCCGCCGGGTGCGCACGCCCCTGCTGCCCCGCCTCGCCCACCCCGCCGCACCCTGACGGCACCTATACGGGTGCTCTGATATGAATCTGGACCGGGCGAACGCCTTGGCCCGCCCCCGCGGCCCGCCTTGCTTCTCTTTGCTTAGCTCCCCTTTCTTTCTTTTCCTCTTCTACCCGCCTCGCGCTTTTCTCTCCTCCCCTCCTCCCTACCTCTCTCTTTTCCCCCCGGTTCCGAAATGCAAGCTTCATCTCATCTTTTTTTCTCCTTTTCCTTTTGACCTTGTGCGCCCCGGGCGGGCCCGCTCACACAGCTACCCGCCGGGAATTCAAATCGTATCCGCGCCACATCAACCCGCTCCCCCCTTGCAACTCCCTTAGAGAGAGAGAGAGAGAAAGAGAGAGAGAGAGAGAGAGAGAGAGAAAAGGTTTGCCCGGCGGCGCGGAGCGCGCGGGAGAATTCAAAGAAGCGCGTGCGAAAACGACCTCGGTTCCCGGAATCGGAAATAATACGGGGGGATTGTTTTGATGAAAGTAAACAATCCGGACGACGACGTCGCCGCCTCCGCCGCCGGGACGGTGTCGGCGGCGGAGGGAGGGGGGGAGGGAGGACCCTCCCCGTCACGTGCAGCCGCAGCAGCCGGGGCTCAGCGCTCAGCCAATTACGTGCACTTTACTGTCGCTGCTGTCTTGGGCGGGGCGGGCAGGGCGGGGCGGGGCGCGCTGCCCGCCGAATATAAAGCTGGCGCGCTGCTCTGACCCTCCTCCGCCCGCCGCACTAACTTGACCTCATTGCACCGGCTGGCCCTTTTCTGCCCTGGCCAGGTGATAATCAGAGGCAGGGGGGGGGGGAGGCTTGCCGGGTCCGACGGGGACCTTCCCCGGCACGCCGAGACCCTCCTCGTCGCCATGCTCGTCACGTAGGGGCGGTGTACACATGAGCCCTGCCGCTGCCGCTGCTAGCTCGCCGGCCTCCTTTTCTCCCTCTTCTTCATCGCCTTCCTTCCCCGGGCAGCCCTCCTCGCCCTCCCCACCGCCGCCTGTCGCCCGCTACTAATCGGGCATGTCTGCAGCGTAAACAGACACGTTCATCCGGGGAGGAGAGGCAGAAAAAGTAATCCGACTCGACAGTGGCGGGCGGCGGCGCTCGGGAGGTACCGTGGCAGCAGGGGAGGTGGCTGGGGTTGGTCTAGCTGGGGGGAGAGGAGGGTGGAGGATGGACCACGGCCCCGACTGGCGCGGAGGGCAGAGGGTAACTCGATAGGCCGGCCGGGTTAACGGCCACTCGAACAACACCAGACCAGCAGCGAGGTAGTTCGAGTAGTCGCTGCAGCGGCGGCCGTGGCCGGGCTGCCGTCCCACAGCGTCGCTCAGCGCCGCGCGGGTTAGGCCGACCCGCCGAGCTGCCGCGTGGAGCGGCCGGCCTATGCTCGCACCGGCAGGCGCCCGCCCCGCCCGCAGCGCGTCCCGTCCGCCGCGTAGTCATTTGTTTCGCGCTATTTTTCATTTTTACTTTATTTTTTTGTCCTCTTTTCCCGCCCACTTCCGCCTGCTATTTCTTTCCTTCTTGCCTCGACCATTCTTTCGTTGGCAATGATGACGATGACAATGATGTGATTTTTTTTCTGCTTGCGTCTAACAATTGTGCGCCCCTTTTGTTTCAGACACAAGCGGAAGATGCAGAGCTTCCTGCCGTGCAAGACGTCGCCGGCGCCGCGCTGCGAGGCCAACGGCAACACGGTCATCTACGAGGACCTCACCAACATGCGGCCCCGCCTGGGGCTCGGCTCGCTAGGGCCCGCCCTGGGGCCACGGCCCAACACCCGCCCCCTGCCCCTACCCCGCCAGGGTGCACCCATGGAGGTGAGACCAAGTTTACTCCTTTTCCTAATAGTTATTTAAATTCACAGCGTAACTTTTAATATCCATACAAAAAAGAAAAACTATAAACTTTCATTTTTATCTAAAAATTTACAATACCCAAGTCTGGTCGAATTCAAAAATCTAAATCAAGAATCTATCTTGAAAGCAGATGATACTAATTTAATACTATAGTATACCTGTGTTTTAATATTTCTAGTTTGATTTTTATTTGTGGTGGTTTTGCATCATTTTTTAAATGTTTCACTCGTTTATCGTCTTTGACAGGCATTACTATAAAGGGGAGGGAGGGGGTAGCGTACCGGGTGGCAGTCGCGGCTGTGGGACCCTAGTATTGTTGGGCAGGGGCCTGCCGGCCTGCCGCGTCCGACGCGACACTCGGGCGCTCGGGCACTCACTCACTCACTCACTCGGCCCCCCAGCGCCAAATAAATTGTTTTCTGGTCTGCGCTTACGGTTCTCTGTACTCATCGAGAGTAAAAGCTAGCTGACACCTTAAAGTTACTTACATATTCTTTATGTTTAGTCAAAATGTTTGTAAGGTATCATCTGCTAAAAAGTTATAGCGGCGCAGTGAAATTTGGTGCGCGTGTTTCCGTACACTCGATACCGTGCCGAGCCAGCAGAAACTACTTTACTCATCCCAATCTCTCTCGCCCAACCGCTCTGCTCTCCTTTTTCGCCTATAGAAAATTTACTCGAATAAATTCAAAGCGTGATTAGTTCCTTGGCACGCTGGTCGCTCGTGCGCTTGCAGCGGGGTTGGTTAGCGCCTCCTCCCCCCTCCCCCCTCCC